AACACCAGCCAACCTTGCTCCCGACCTACTCCTAACCATGGTTGGGAGGAGTTCGGGTCGTGTCTAGGAGGCCATTTTCAGCTATGTGTGACAGGGGGCTTCGATCCAAGGAATCTTTGACTTTTTAACTCTTCAAACTCAACCTGGCGTGGGGTTGTGTGGCGTAGCGGCAGAGTGCTCGACTCGGAACCAAGAGGTCCCGGGTTCGAGTCCTGGCATGCCACCGATCTTGTGCCCTTGGGAAAGGCACTTAACACGACTTTCCTCACTTAACTCAGGTGAAAATTAGTCTTGTATATGTACTGTCCCCTGTGTTGAAGGCGGCATCAATATAAGTTGAAAGAAGTTGAGCGTGCCATAAGTGAGTCTTGTGATCACATGTTGGAATATAAAAAAAAAAACTCGTACCGCAGGTCTAATCACCAAGTAGTTGTAAAGTCAGATGAGATATTTCCATCCTGTTACCACATATGTAGGGCATTTAAAGACATTAAAGGCTCGATTCCTCTCATGATAACTGATACCGGTTTAAGATAAAGCTTACCCAAGAAGAGGTGTAACACATTGTAGCACTTATCTAAAATGAGAAGCTCTTTTGCTTAGGCCTAATTAAGTCTTCGCACTGACTTCCACCGGCCACTCACTGTCAAACCAAGATGTCAGAGTTCAAGCTCAGACGGACTCGGGTCAAACATTTTAGTAAAAACTGCCGGGAGGGGGGTGGGTGCTAATAATCAACACCGTGTTGTGCAGGTACAGGGCTCGAAATTAAAGGTGGTCCAATAGCCACTGACCACTAAGATTTAGGCTGGGACAACTCAAAAGACATTTTGAGACATTTTTGCTTACCAGTCACACACACACACACACACACACACACGAATTTCCTGTTAACTCTGCAATTACAGTGCGCCTGGGAATGAACATAAGCAAAATAAAGTTGACTTCAAGTTGAAGCCATACAATACTTCCCGAAAAACAGGTTGGAACAGTTCATCCTTACTTCGGGACAATTGAAATTTATTTTTGGGACAGTGTTGGGACAATGTATAGGAAGAGTTAATTTCGAGGCCTGAGTTAGAGTTGGCTCTGGATCCAGAGAAGTCATCCGTGGTGGTTTCTGTTGGTAAAACTTCTCATTCTTACCGAAAATATTTAGCTTCAACACTGTGGTTGTTACCTTGGCAGCGAAACACTTTGGGTCGAGGTAATGAAGCATGGGACAGGGTGAGATGTGGTCAGGAAGGATATCTAGCTTTGCCCTGTACATTTCACAGTTTACAGTATCAGTATTTCTCTGCGACACAGAGTGGGCTCGCACGTGTAATTGACAATAGTCTGAGAGTAAAGACAGGCATTTTCACGGTTATCTTTCTTGGACTTTGCTCACTACATTTGAACTGATGAAGCATGGGACAGGGTGAGATGTGGCCGGGAAGGATATCTTCGTCGTGTGTATTTCACTATCTAGAGTATCAGTATTTCTCTCCTTGTGCCGCGTAGTTGACAATAGTCTGAGAGCCAGTGTGAGCGATGCTACCTTCAACTCCTAAGGGGCTTGGCCTTCATTCCTGATTCGTGCCATGTCGAGGCCTTAGCACCTTTGCTGCCACATTAAGATTCTTTAGGAGCTTCCGTCCTTGGACATAGTAATTCAAGGCTTTTATGAACCAAGGTCGAGTGAAAATGCTAATTTTGTACGATTGTTTTCCATTCATTATGACTTAATACTAGTACGTACTGTGGTTGGCTTCATTGCTGTCAATTTCTGTAGGACGACCTGTTAAAGTTTTGGGACAGGTGAACGTGTTAGGGCACTTTTATTTCATTAACTATGTAGCGTAAAACAATACAATTAAGCTTTCTTTCATGATAAATAAATGTCTTAACAATCCTTTTCTTCATAAATCACGTCAAAAATCATAAAATTATTGAGCCTTCGAGGTGCTATTAACTGTAAGATGTCTAGTGGTACAATTCTTCCTTTGATCCTTCCCTATAGTCTATTCTGTACGTCTGTCAAAGTCAATTGTGTAGTAATAAGATGGATGGCGTCACTTCTGAAAGTCATTCCAAACGTTACTGCGCGCTAAATCTGGTTCCTATTCAAGTTCATGTCCACTAATGCCCTAACGCCGGCGGGGAGGGAGTTTTCATGTGTTACACAGCTAGCGCCAAACGTGGCAGCAATTATATATCCTGACCAGATGTGGCCAGGAACTTCCGATTCAAGTCATGCAGGTTTATCCACGCACTTTGTCTGGTAGACGTGAATCTTTTATTGATCGCGAATGTTAAAATTTGCCAGACACACTGTATGACAGCAATTTCAAGTACATCACTCATAACACTGTAAGTGAGCAACCACAAAGTGATACAAGGTTGTACCTGAAGAAGGTACAGTGCAATATTTCTAACTCTCAAGGACGAACCCTCTTAATTTCTTTGCATTATTTGTACCAACAGCCCCAAGTCACTAAGGAATCTTTTATGTCTATTGGAAAGTATAATCTAAATTCTGATTTTTCTTTCTTAACGAATTGTTAGGGAACCACCTCTCTAACAACAAGACCAAAACTGTCCCGTTGTCGCACTAACAAATCCTGAACGACAGTCAATGTGTTATTTTGATCAATGGACACCCTAATAGTTCTAATGTTTTCATCCAAGTGTTGTCATGATCATGTGCTAATTAAGATATTAACGTTGGTTCCGATGATAACCCCAAAAGGATGGTGTTTCCAGATGACCACGTCTGACCCCTGGTACTGGTCAACTCGCCACGAGCCCCTGTCAACACGATTGTAATGATGTCATCACCTAATGATGGCAGAAATAGCTGACCGACTAGCGACTAGGCAGCTTATAGTAGTCGTCCATTCCTATTCTAACTTGTTGACTAGAAGAGCTTTTCTTTAAACATTTATAGGACCTAACGTAACACAAATTTCCTTCTTGGCAGAATTCATCCAGTGTCTTTTTTTTACTAATTTGTATTACGTTATGTTTTACCGGATGTCTATTTGGGCAATATCTACTCTTTCCAGCCGCTTCTGAAGCCTGGTAGAGGCTAGTATATAATAGGACCTATCATTTATGAGGAATTCACATGATTTCCAAATAACTGACAATATCAACTCTTTCCAGCCGCTTCTGAAGCCTGGTAGAGGCTAGTATATGATAGGACCTATCATTTATGAGGAATTTGCAGGATTTCCAAATAACTGACAACTGACAATATCTACTCTTTCCAACCGCTTCTGAAGCCTGATAGAGGCTAGTATATGATAGGACATATCATTTATGAGGAATTTGCAGGATTTCCAAATAGCTGACAATATCAACTCTTTCCAGCCGCTTCTAAAGCCTGGTAGAGGCTAGTATATGATAGGACATATCATTTATGAGGAATTTGTAGGATTTCCAAATAGCTGACACAAATCTCATTGCCAATGTTGAATGTCTGATATAAAACCAATTCCAGCTAAGACATGTTCCATACGACAGTACGGCCATGTTTTATGTAGAGCTCCGGAACTCGGTCGTCACCGAAGAACTAAACCTTACAACACAGCCGTGCCGCCCGTGCGTGTGTTTCATCTTTTCACACGTCGCATCGCGGACCACCTTCAACGTGTCGTCTTTACATCAGGCCACACCATCTTAATTTGTTGATTTTCGGATTTTTTCTGAAAAAAATTTGAAGCGACAGGGTGAGAGAAAAAAAACAGGCCTATGCATCTTATAATAGCCCGAAATGCTTCCTTAGCTAGTAGCTACATACCAGGCTGGAATAAAAAATATATAGTGAACTTTTAATCTAATCACTGCATTGATAGACGGAAAAACTATAAAACTTATACAACAAACAGAAAGACATCCTGCAACCGTTGGGGCCAAAAATTGGACTTCATTCAGAACATGAATGTATCAGTTTTTGCAAATCAGAAAAAAATTAATGCGGGCGAATACGAGAACCAACTAATTACATTGGTGTGGCCTTACGAGAAATCTTTCCACGCTTCAACTGCCTGACATGTACACGGGCGCCTCCCACGACCCCTGCCCTCTCTGTTCATCTCTATCACACGTGGATGACGTAAAAACCGCCGTCTGCTTTCTGTCCGTCACCGAGCTCTGGGAACGAGAGCTACTTCTGTCTCACCTGCGGGGTCACGTGGTTGCTACAGTACTCGACAAGGAAGTCAGCAGGGGAACTTTTGTAGTAACAGTTATCTAACTCATATAGTCAATACCGGGCTTCAAAAACGACTGGAAAGTGTAGAACTTGGTCAAATAGACAGATAACATGCCAGGGGAATTTGTTCGCTAAATGAGCGGCAAACTGTACTCTTTTTACAGAGACTCGAAGATTCTCCGACTTGTCATTCGCTATGGTCTATTTAAATTAAAGGGATCCAATACCGTTTTTAGGGCTAGGAAACCCAATTTTTCAAAGTCAATATTCTAGTTATTTATCTCCATACTAAGTTGAAACCACACTATTCAAATGTAAAATGACTCTCATGGAGCAAATATACCCAAACGGAAAATGGTTACTGGAAGGGCCCTTGGCTGATTTTAGGGACTCATCTTGGGGCTTGCTTCTACAATTGAAATACCCAAAACTATGAAATACTGATTGAAATGTGCTAATGTGAAGCAGTATGTGTCAATATCATAAAGATTGCCTTATTCCGAATATTTGCCAGTTTTGCTGCTCTGAAATCGCATTGGATGCCTTTAAACATCATACGTACCGACATGTATACATGGCGTTTCATCCAAACTGTTTAGCCACATCGCCGTGTACAGGAATTCCTGACGGCTGACAGAGAGACATGTCCCGGGAACAAACAACCGCCGTTCCCTTGGAACTGCGCGCCCGCAGGTCAGACCGCTTAACACCCGCCCTGCCTGCCCGCTAAACTCAACCGATAGGAACTAAAAACTGATAACGTAACGATCACCTCATCTACCATCTGTTTTGTGTCTTGCAGAAAGCGTGATTTTACACAGCCAGGCTTAGGTGGGCTGCTCCGTATCACCGACAAGGGGCTACTTTGGTACAAGACAGGTCTGTCGGCAAAGTCACAGTACGGACATCTACAAAACAACACTGCAACAGATCCGTATTACTTTTCTAAAAAGTAAGCTGTTTTTGTGCATTATCATCTTTCTGCTAAGGTATCTTTTTGAGCGCCGTTTTGCCTTGCTTGAACTTACTTTTGAAATTTTCCAACTGATATGCTACGTTCGTAGATAAATACCCACCAAAGAGTATGTGTGATGCAATGAGTAGTTTGCGACGCCTGCCTGCACTTCATCTCACATTCGTAAGAGGAAGCTACTCAAATCTCTCAGAAGGGCCACACTATACAAAGGGTGCCAATTTTACAGATAACGTTAACTATCACAATGATATATCACATAACTAAATACCTGCCACCTGTGAAGGCACAGTTTTAGTACCACCATTCTCGAATTTCAGGAATCTACAAATATCAGCAATACAGTCTGGGTAGTATCTTCTATCAAAATTGACTACGGTGTATTCATAAGTCCTTAACCTTTACATACACCTATACGTGTTTACATATACATATACGTGGTTTGTGTAACAAGAGATGACCATATTATTGTTCCCACTGCCACAGGCCCGACATGGGAACGAGCCTACTCTGGGAACGAGTGTAGGACCGTCTCCGTCGACCAGCAGTACCCAACGCTAATTCCCACACATCTGCTCCGGGCAGTTTGTGTACGTGCAGCGGCTAGTGTTCTGTGGTTTGAGCTGGAATCGCCTCTGGAGGGTTCTAACCCTGAAGGTCAGTGAAAAACAGATTTGCTTCGGTTGAAGCTATCTCATCTGCGAGTGTGTCTTCCACACGTGTTTACGGTGTGGACTCCCCCCACTGCTCGCAAGGATTAGTCTCGCTGGCCGACAACATTACAGTCACTTCTGCACACCCTCAAGGCCACGGCCGACACCATTTCACGCCAAACTAATTGGAGCTAGGAAAGAGACGCACCGCTGTGAACTGGCAAAAGCCAATCGGTTGGGAGTGTTCCCCGTCTCCGCTGGACACGCGATCTAAGTTCGGTCTGCAGGGTGCAAGTTTAGGAAAATCTGGTCGGTAACATTGGGCTTCAAGATTCCAACCGGGGAGAGGTTCTATGGTGTTGTGTCCTTGTGGACAGAAGCGAAGCCCTCGGCGCTACTTATAGTCAGCACCGCACATCCCACCTCGTCGTATACCCTTGCTTCACCAGCAAGATGTCGACTTGGTTTTGAGCTTGGAGGTTCTAAGAGCAAGGTGACAAAGTCGTGAACCATTCTTAGAAGAGAGGACGACGTGGGAGCTCGGGTTTCAACTAGGGCGATTTCGACCTGACAGGGCTCGACATTCTAACATTTACTCTGCATTGCCCATCCAGTGAACCCTGACTAACAAAATTGAAGGTTTCTGTTGTCAAGTGGCCACGGAATTCAGGTGAAGGCAGACCAATAATTGCATCGGCAGAGACGTTTACAGTTGACTTTTTGGGACTGCTCCTCGGATTAGTGGTCTATGATAAGACCCTGTGAGTCTGGGCCTTACTATCAACCAAATACAAGAGAGGAAACGATCGAATAAGATCATTGTATGGTAATGAGGTAAGCGTGTCCACACGGTGACCATAACCGCGGCATCTGGACAGATTGTTGACGGGGAGAAGCAGAGCGACGTGCCGAGTCAGACGAACGGAAGGACCGCGAAAATCGACTTTGTCTGGGCGATCCGTCACCAGGGCACGTTGTTAGTGTGTGCACCAACAGGAGTGGCAGAGGCTCTCGGAATTTTGTGCAGCGTCCAATTGTCTTTGAAGGCCAACTTGGACCCACAGAGATTCTTGATGGAGTGCCATCGCATGTAGAGATCAGGTGATCTTCCAGATCCGCGGATCAGACGACAAGAGGACACGGTAAAGGTCTGGTTCGTTCCCAAGGAGACCTGTGGCTTAGCGGGAAGGAAACCTGCAGTGTGTACTACAAAGACTTGCTAAAGACTTCACAGGGAAGCCTGACAGGATAGCGGTAAGTACCCTTATTTATCTCTCTGTCAGGACCTGTGGATAAGTGTTTATTGAAAACGATATTGTGCATGTGGCAGGCGAGATGTAGACGGTGGTTCTTGATGTGATGTATAATTTGTGCGCGCATATTTACTTTCTGACTATACTGAACATCCCCATGATTTTGAATGTTTAGATTTTAACATAGCATTCTCAAACAACTATTCTCTGTATAACGTGTGTGATAAAAATAGCATTTATATGATGTAAAAATAAAACTAATGTAGCCTTCCCCTTGTGTTGGGTGGGAGGTCGCGTGTTTTGGAAATGAGGGGAGACCGACCATGGCGGTTTTGAGTTTTACTTGTTGACAGATATCAAAGTGGCAAATAGAGAGGCGTACATACGAGACACACACACACGGTCGCACCATCACTACCGACTGTGCTCCCACATTCCTGTAGACCATACGTATCCCTTTGTGCAGAACGCTTCCAACTGTTTGGACAAGGTTAAGTAAAGTCAAGGAATACATTTCAGCGTTGCAGACAGTCCGCTTCTATCAGGCTGGGTGAAAAATGGAGCACGTCTGGAGACTGAAGGCCATGTCCAATGCGAAAATGTGTTTACTTCCTCAGCTTGGACGAACTATGGGTCGTCTGCAGGAAGTAGAGGGCCAAAGTCATTGTTTTTTCACAGTGCTATACCTTCTTATGTTGTATAAACGGTGTTATAGCTAACTATGTGGTGTTGTTTTCAAGATTATTACAAGGGTGAGCAAAAATGTCGTCTGGGCAGAACGCGTCTTTCGGCACAGGGTTAAAAGGTGGGCCGTGTCCGCTTGCCCAGTGTGCGCGCCTTTGTTTACAAATACAGGGCAAGCTCAACGTTGCTTTTGATTTGTGTACGACAAAAACATGTCGAATCTTAGTTCTCTGAGCGACAGAGACAAGTCTGTCTTATCTGAGGACTCATTTTGTGACTTCTTTACGTCTGGTTCTGTCAGTCTTCATGTTGAACCCATCCCTCCCACCCAAGTCGCTTCCCGCCCATTTTTCTTTAATGGCCGACAGGCCGACATTCCGACAACCTGCTCCGGAGGACGACAAGGTGGGTCTCGTTTACCGCATCCACCTCGGGGGCCCGCGCCATCCGTTCCGCTACACTCCTAATTGGCACCGCTTCTAATGGTTTCGTAAAATAATTGGCTTTTTATGTACATCAGAAAGAGGTGTGGCAGCAGCCTCGGGCCCTGACGTCGAAAAATTACCTCGACGATATAATGAGAAAGGTCTGGTCAGTGAAGAACCTGCATGCTCTTGCATGTATCAAGACTTGGGGCAGCAAGAGGTCATATAGTAGAGGTGAGTTTTCCTATGAATAGACTATAGGTATAAGGCTACATGTATCTACAAATCTGTTACAGAACAGAGTCTAAGAATATCTGTAGTATAAGGATGCTTGTACTAATGTTAGTACAAAATGTACCCTCTTCGACAATTTCCCCCTCATACCATAGACGGAACATACCATAGAAGAAATCAAGATAGGATAGTAGGTTGCCTTGGCCTAGGATCTCTCATCAAGAGAATACATGTACTACAATGCCTTAGACGTAGAAAGATTATAACTTAAGTTTTAAAAGGTTCAGCACTGTATCAACATTCCAAAATTTTGAAACTTGCATTGTTGTCGTGCATGTAATGTTCATTCCTGCTCTAGTATCTATTGCCCGGGGCATCGATATCTAGCCTTGTGTTTGGATTTCCGGAGTTTTTGTAGAACCTTGATCTTTACATAACAGACTAGACCACGCATGTTCATCTCAAGGCCTCAAAATTAATATGAAGATAATCATAGGGAGGCTACGTACGGTTTTCGTGGTTGCTGCCCTAAACTACGAACTAAGTCTATGATGCACTACGTTGTATATTGATGAACTATTTTGTGCCTTCCGCTATTTGTTGTCTATCAAGCGCCATAATCTTGTAGATATTGAGAAAGTTTTGGATAATTTGGGCACAGGTGTCATGGTATTTAGCTTCGATGACAGTCAAGGCATTCAAGCAAAATTTGCGGAATTGAAAAAATGGCCTTATCAGTGTCGACATGTCCAACGTAATAAAACTTGCCGTTTGTCTTGGTAATGTAAGCAGCATACTTTCAACCAGGACATGTTGCAGGCTTCAACTTCAATTCAATCCAGTTTTTATTCTGTGTCATAATACATTTTTTTGGTTTAGCGGAGGTGAAAAATCGTCCACTATAAGGTCGGGTGGCCAGATGGTTAGGATTGTTAATTCAGAATCCGAAGGTTGTGGGTTCGAATCCCTGACAGGCTTAAGTGTTGTGCCCTTGGGAGAGGTAATTTACACCTATTTCCTCACACGACTCAGGAGAAAATGAGTACCTAGCTTCAGTTAGGGACGTCCTCTTAGGATATGAAGCCGGAGGTCCAGCAGTTGAGGAGAACCACACCTTGAGGACATTAAAAATCCCACCACACTCATCGAAAAGAGCAGAGATCCTTCCCAGTGTGAGTGGTTCAAACCTTACAGTTCAGGTTGACATCTTAAAAAGGTAATGGTTACCTGATTTGTCGTTGCTTCTGCAAATGTGGTAAATCTTAGCACATAAAAAAGGCACGAAGAGACGCTAACAGAAATCTGGTATATTCAGCAAACATATGGGCAGAGAAAGAAGTGATAACAGTCTAATTTAATGCAGCAGTCAAGTACAGGCTAAGTGATTACCAACACTTGAGCTGGATGCAGGAAATGCACGAAAGTTTCTTGGCAGATTTGTGTTTGTGTCGCAGCGTGTCTAAAGAAAGACACACGACAAAGACACCCAAGTTGGTGGGGGAGTCTAGTGTTGTCAACTTGCTTTAGATTATGTGCAAGCCTCCTAATGGCTTCCGTTGGTGTTCTTTTACACTCTTGGAGGTTCGTAATAGACATATGGACGTAGGAAAGCGAGGGAAGTCTTCTTATGTTTGTTTGTTTGTTTGTTTGTTTGTTTGTTTGTTTGTTTGTTTGTTTGTTTGTTTGTTTGTTTAGGATCTCCATCAGTGTGAATTTCACACTACTCTTCTCCAAGTCCGTAGTGAATAATCAGTATTTGGACCATCGCACACAGGGGCATGCCCCTACTCTTTTTCGAAAGGTGTGGACTGGTGGGATCTTTAACGTGCGTGGGGTGTGGCTCTCCCCAAACACGGGATCCGGACCTCCATTTTACGTCCTATCCAAGGGACGTCCCTAACCAAAGCTAAGTACTCAATTTCACCTGAGTGAAGTTAGCCTGGATGCCAGACCCAAAGCACACTGGACACAAAATATCTCAGTGCACACTGAGATATTTTGTGTCCAGTGTGCTTTGGGTCTGGCATCCAGGCTAGAGTGAAGTGAGGAAAGCCGTGTTATGATGCTACATCCACAGCAAGATGGTACAACGATATACTAGTATATCTTATGATTTCTGATTCCTTCTTTCATAAAATATATCTTTTATAGTCAACCCTTACATTGGAAGTACACTACTGAACCACATCACAACCCTTTCAAAGGGAAATGTCCCTAGCTCTTATGCTGACAGGTGCAGTGTGCAGAAGCTTAAGCCTGCCTGTACAACACAACACACTGGGAAAATTTACTACCGTGGAAGTAGCGAGACCTACTGGCCTCTGTCAGGGAATTACGACAGTACCACACGTTTTACGACACTAGAAGGCACAACGCCAACACCTCCAAGCCAGAAATCTTAACCTCTCATTTTCTGACGAAACGAAACGATTAGAAAGAAGACACCTTTTTCGATTTGTGATGGAATCTTCAGCAGGGTGGTACCGACCTGTTAGTAACACTAGAGTCGTTCCTTAGATAGATTAAGTGCAGGCATGTAATGATGGGTGATGTGGAAGTGTACTGGATGGTAAACTAACGCCTACAGTTATTTTTGTGTTGTCAGAATCAATTCACGCAACATGAAACGTCTGCCTTAACTGCCTCGAAGGCAAACCTCTGAAACAATATATATCACCATGCTATAAACAACATGAAGTATGAGATGGACTAGTAACCATCAAGTAGTGTTTTCAATCGATCAACTACAAAGTAATGGCAAATTTTCTTGCTAAACACATAACGTTATGCTTTTAAACTCTGAAGACATTTCCTGTTATAGAACATACATGTATTTTTATGATCCATGGTGAGGGCCATTACATAGAAGTGGAAGAGCCCTTTCATTACCCACAATCCTTCACTCCGGACAGTTCTCTGAGCCCCCCCCCCCCTCCCCACACACACACAAGAAATAAAGATGAATGGGAGACCATTGTAAAAGCTATAAAATCGCTAATCAACGAGCTAAGTCCTTTAAGGACACACTGTAACCTCCAGTAACTGCCTGTGATACCCAGGCTGTGAAACACCCGAGCGGGAAGTATAATTACCCGCTGCCGGGCGGCCGGGTCCCTCCGCCCGCGCCCTGACATGGGCTCCCCGCCAACCACCTGAGGGGACATTCCTGCCCGTAAGCACCGTGATT